GAGGGGAGAAGAGGGAGAGGGAGAAGAGGAGAGATGCTTCGGATGATCGAGTCGCGGCTTCGGCTCGGCGGACGATGCGAAGCGACACACGCGAAGGGCTGTGGGAAGAGCGCGAAGTGGCGGCGGCGGGGGAGGGAGGGGCAGGGGCGAGGGGCGTGGTGGGGGCAAGGCGAAAGGGGGAGGGAGAAGGGGGGGAGTAGGGAGAGGGGAGAAGGGAGAGGTCGGCAGGGGTCGGGCGGTGAAAGATGGCACGGCCGTCCCAAAACAGCCATTACGAAAATTGCCGGGCCGGGCCTGAGCGCCGCCCCCCGGTTCCTGTAATGAAGAATTATAAGGGGCGCGGCGAGCCAGGTTTTAAAGCAGCGGGAGAAAAAAAATTAGATCTGAATTTATGCTTTTGACGAGGGGCTTGGGGGGGGGAGGGAGGGGAGAGGGAGAGGGCCCCGTGGAGGGGGTGAGTAAATGGGGGGGGGCTGGGAGGAGGGGGGAAATGGATGGAATGGGGGATTGGCTCTTCCCTTATTCTTTTATGTGAACTGGGTCAGCAGAATTTTAGGAAAAAAGGGAGGACTTTAATTTCCAAAAATGGAACGGCATCGTAGCCTCTTTCACAGAAGCCCCGAGTGACACCGGGTATTAAAAGAAACCATCTTCAAGTGTCATTCTCAAATCCTTAAAAGAGGGGCAAAAATCCTAGTCCCATTTAACAGATTGAACAGGGTCCTGCCGAGCCCCTCCTCCCTGGGGCTGGGGGTGGGGGGGGTGTTCACTGGAGGGATCTAGTGGGGGGGGGAAGGGAAGGGGATGTTCGGAATGGGGGGGGGGGATGTGGGTGGTGGAAACGAGCCCGACGCCCAAGAAACGCATCCTGCACGCCCACGCCCGCCCACACGCCTACGGAGACGCCGCTTCTCGTCCTTTTTTTCACCGAATCGATTCCAACAACGGATCAGATACAAAAAAAAAAGACAAACAACGAAAACGGTTAAAAAAAACACGCAAATTCAAAAACGAAAACGAAAATTCTACTAACCTAAACAAAAAAAAAAAGCGCGGGAAAAATGCCTAACGCTCTCAAAACAGATAGACAAATCCACTCCCACTCTTCTGTAGATACATTTCATGTGGTTCCTCTACATGAAAGACTAACTCCTGCCATAAAACATGATCATGGGCGCCTCTGTGCACGGGCAGGGCTATCCAGTTGCGCAATATGCTGTCAATAAAGCCAAAATTGTCTCTTGCCTCCCCCTCCCCCCTCCCCCCCACACACCTCGCGAAAAAGGCCCAGAATCCTCCACTCTTGTCATAGAGGCGACACGCGCGCACTCCTCACGGCGCAGTAACATTTATATGCGCCATATCTTGGATATATCTTGGTTATATCTTGTTTACGCTGGGGACATAACGGTCTCTTATCGCGATACTACTTGGCTGGACATTTCCCTCCGGCGGTCGTCAGTGTCGAGCACCGTGGCATTTCTTTCCTCTTCCTTCGAAGGAAGGGAGGGAGGAGGGAAGGAGAGGGGAAGGAGAGGGAAGGAGGGAGGAGAGGGAAGGAGGGAAGGGAGGGAAGGAGGGAAGAGAGGAGGAAAGGAGGGAGGAGGGGAGGAGGGAGGAAGGAGGGAGGGAAGGAGAGGGAGGAGGGAGGGAGGGAGGGAGGAGGGAGGAGGGAGGAGGGAGGGAGAGAAGGGAGGAGGAGGGAGAGGGAGAGGAGAGAGAGAGAGAGAGAGAGAGAGAGAGAGAAGAGAGAGAGAGAGAGAGAGAGAGAGAGAGAGAGAGAGAGAGAGAGAGAGAGAGAGAGAGAGAGAGAGAGATAGGAAGAAAGACAATTAAAATAAGAGAATGAAGGAGAAAACTAGAAGAGAGCAAAGAATTAAGAACCAAATATAGAAGAAACGACATAGAGAGAGACAGACAGGCAGACAGAGAGAGTGTAAGAGAGAAACACGATGAAGAAGTAGGCACAGTGCCACGCAGGGTCGGTATGGCACCCGAAAGGTCGGGGTTCTGACCTCAGGGGCTGCTGGTGGATTCTTTGGTTATTTCCCCATGGCTATTCCTTCTGGGTAATTGCACACACACACAAACACACACACACACACACACACACACACACACACACACACACACACACACACACACACGCACCACCACACACACACACACACACACAACACACATACAACACACACCACAAACACGCACACACACACACACACAGAGAAATATACGTTACTACGTACATATGCATCATACGATGCATTAAAAAGTCGATGATAAAAAGAAAAAGAAATCAAGAAAAATATATAGAACTAAGAAAAAAATATGAAAAAAGAAGAAATAGTCCCAGGAATTATGTCGAAAACATAAACTAAAACATAAAACTTCTCTCTGTCGCTATATTAAGAGCATCTAGATTTTTCTATTACACTTCTCTCGCCTTTGCATGCATCCTGTAGCATGACTCATCATTATAATTGATGCTAATACTATCATCATTATGATTATTATTGCCATCACTATCATTGTTATCATACTAATAATTATTAAGATTATCATATTTTTTATCGTCATCTTCATTATTACCATTATTATTATCATCATAATTGATGCTAATACTATCATCATTATGATTACTATTGCCATCACTATCATTGTTCTCATACTAATAATTATTATGATTATCATATTTTTTATCGTCATCTTCATTATTACCATTATCATTATCATCATCATATCATCAATATAAGTCATAACTAATATATCATCATCATGAACATCGCCATTACTTCCTTTCCGTCAATACAACCGCTATAGACAGTAATATAATCCACATCATCATCCCCTTTTCCATAATCGTCGTTGTTGTTATCATTAAAAAAAGAAAAAGAAAAAAAAAACGAGAATAAGTAATTCCCAAACAGATTGTCAATTACATCACGGACAGATAGACAGACCGATAAAAGACAGATACACAGCGACGGAAAAATAAATCGGGAATAAAATATAAGCTGATAGATTAGGGAGACTGGCGTATGAAAATGTAGATTTATTGATAACAAAAGAGAGCAAGGATAAAGGGAAGAGGAGAGAAGAGCGAAAATAAAGAGAGAGAGAGAGAGAGAGAGAGAGAGAGAGAGAGAGAGAGAGAGAGAGAGAGAGAGAGAGAGAGAGAGAGAGAGAGAGAGAGAGAGAGAGAGAGAGAGAGAGAGAGAGAGAGAGAAGTCAGAGAAAGAAACCCAGAAAAAGAAATGAAATCGAAAACGAAAGAAACACAAAAGAAATGAACAAGAAAAGAAAGAAAGAAAGAAAGAACAAGAGAGAAACAGAAAACCGATAAGAAAATAAGAAAGAATCTAAATAAAAAGAGAATAAGAGAAAATCAAAACCGAGAAAAGAAAGAGGGAGCGAAAGAGGGAATAAACAGCCAGAGAGAGAGAGAGAAAAAAAGACGAAATGAAGTAAAGAGTGTATGGCGAGCGGTGGCATCCGGGAACGACACAGGAGAGGACGGCCCAGGAGTCTCGTCAGGTCTTTTATTATCCATGGGGGGCAGCGCACCCCTCTGCTCCTCCATTTATGGCCCCGCGCTCAGAAATATCAGACATAAAGACGGGTTGGGAAGCTCATGGGGTTCGTCGCTTTACCCGACCGCCGAGGACTAAAAATAATTCCTTTTTTAATCTATTTACCTATTTATTTTATTTTATTTGTATTTTATTTTGTTTTATTTTATTTTATTTTATCTTATTTTATCGTATTTTATTTTATTTTATTTTTATCGTATTTTATTTTATTTATTTTTTATTTATCTATTTTTTTTTGGAGGGGGGGGGGGTTAAGATGTGCTTGACTCTCCTTAAGGAATCTTCGTTTCAGGTTCGGGTCAGTGTTGGCATGAGAGTCCTTCAGGTCCTTTACAAGATGAAGGCCTATGAACACTCCTTTCCTTCTCTCTCTCTCTCTCCTTTTTTTATGAATAATTCCTTGGAGGGAAGCGAAGGGGAGGGGGGGGGATGAAGGGGCAAGGGGTTGGGGGGAGGAAGAGGGGAGAAGGGAGAGGGGAGAGGGGGGGGGTATCGAGGCGAAATCCGCTCCGTTTTTTATGACCCAATTTGAATATTCCGCCGACATAATTTTGACCTCGATACTCCCCCCCTCCCCTCACCACCACCCCCCTCCATCCTCCTCCCCTCCCCCTGCCCACCCCTTTTGTTTCACGTGCAAGGAATTTTGAATGCGTTTCGGTTAACATCAGCGAAAATACACTCGTTTTATTCGGCACGTTCCGCCTGCGATTAGAAGCGGCTTGGCATTCATTTATTGGTTTATTAACTGCAAATGCGTTCTTTTTTTTTCTTTTTTTTTGTCTTTTATTGCATTTCTTTATCATTTTTCGTTTTCACTCCAATGGTCTATGGCATATAATGAGGTCATTGCGTTCCATTTGCTTTATTATCATTATTATCATTATTTTTATTATTATCATAATAATAATAATAATAATAATAATAATAATTATTGTTATTATCATCATTATCATTACTATTATTATTTTCGTTTTTTTTAAATATTATTATCGTTATTATAATTAACATTTCTAATGCCACATAAAAAAAAAATAAAAACATAACTTTACCACAGAATTTTTGAGAATTATTCTACTGGATAAGAACGCAAATCCAGATTCCGGAAGGGGATAAGACTGAGCAATAATTTGTTGAGAAAATTGCAAAAGAAAAGAAAAGAAAAAAAAAATCGAGAGAAAAGAAGAAAAAACAAAGAAATCGTAGTTTCAAACGCCGAATGATTCCCTTATCTCCTCATAACATACAGACTAAAATAGAAAAAAGGAAAGAAAATCTATCCGAAGGACCATCATGTACCGACGGCCAAGAGTCCGGGAGAACCGCCCGGCGCCCAGCAAGGGGAGCCGAGCACCAAACAGAACACGTCGGGAACACGAATCGAGAACGGAGGCGCCACGGGGTACTCACCAGTGTGTAGTCGGGTGTGCTGCTGAACGTGGGACAACTGCTTGAAGCGGCGGTCGCAGTAGGAGCACTTGTAGGGTTTCTCCCCGGTGTGGACCCGGATGTGCTGCACCAGCTGATGGTTGGAGGAGAAGGACTTGAGGCACTGCTGGCACTGGTGCGGCTTCACCTCGCTGCGGTGCGCCTCCCGACTGTGCATCTGCATCGCAGACTTGTGCATGAAGATCTGCAAGGGACGGCCACGGGTTAGGATATGCACGTGGTGTGGGGACTGGGAAGTAACTTAGGCTAGAATGGTGATGGAAATTGAAGCACTTGCTATCATGATCGCTGTCATTATCAGTATTATTATAACTATAATGAATTATCACTATCACTAATGATTATTATTATTTTATTAATATTAATATTAATATTAATACTAAATCATTAATATCATTATTCATATTGTTATAATTTTTCTCTCTAGTCTCCAATCAAACTTTCCCAAAACTTTTTTGTAGAGGCACAGATAAAGATCAATTAACATCGAACATATTACGAGGACCTTTCACTTTATGAAAAAAAAAAACAAGCAAACCGAGCACATCAACGATCAGCCATAACACACGAAAAAAAAAAAAAAAACCCTCAGCGGTCAGAACAAATTGCAATTTCGGAAACCTCTTTCGGGGTTTCCCATTAAACAACATTCCACCCCGTCAGCAATGTTCTCCCAACGCAACTCGTTATGTTATAAAGACGCTCTTGGGCGCCACTGTGAATACCGCTCATGAATAAAACATTAGCCCTTACTAGTTAGTGATAAATTACAAGTGATGACAATGAAGTGTCGTGCGCAGATTAATGGCACGAGGGAGGGGGCCTTAGTCTTAAGATCTGTCCTCCGAGAAGTGACGAGAAAACACGCGAACTCACGAGACCTCCCAAACAAGATCCTCCGTAGCTCGGAAGGGATATTGATTACCTATAATACAATACCGAGTAAAGTCTTCACTTCGGCTAAATCGGATTTCTATGGCAACAAAGAGGGAGTGATCATCATTATTACAACCATCATTCATTTGTCGAGGTTGTAATAACCACAATAACCAGCATCGCACATGTAATTCATCACATTACATCTACAACTACAACATGTAACCATAACATTGCTACAACGATTAAAAAAATAACTAAAACTACGGCTATGAAAATGTGGACACCAATATCCCACTACTTTTATGGATATCACCTTAAAATGAATTAATATTTGCTATTTATAATTTCACAATAATAAATCTAATATTTCTACCACAAAGAACAAACGAAATAATGGAATAAACCGACCGAGAGTAATGTATACATACATCACACATCTAATTACAGCTTGAACGCAAAAAATCTATATATATACATTTCTTTTTTATGAAATAATACGGCAAATATTCAATAATAAATGGAAATATTTTCCAGATACAATAGGTTCTCTCATGGGAAACACCGCCTGTCGTTAGTCTAATGCAATTGAGTAATCATATGTAATTATAAAAAAAAAAAAAAAAAATTGTATATATAAATGAATTAATAAAAATTACACGTGGGAAAAAGAAACAAATAACAATATCCAAACACAATGTTTTAGAGTCACTCATCCAAAAATAATAATAAAAGTGATGTGATTAAAATCCTCATTAAAAATCCCCATATTTTGGCACACTTGCTCTTGGTCACAATTTTTCATGTGTAATGGGATGCGACTTGCCCAGATCTCGCCGCTTGTACCACAGTCTTTGGCCGTGTTTCATTCGGTTTCGTCTCCCTGTCGCCACGCCCGTCCCTCTACCGTCTCGGAGGCCGCCTCTACGCCCACGCCGACGCCCACCCGACCGAAGGGCGTGGGGCTCCTCCCGACGCGACCGACAGCAGAAGGCGGCGGAGGCGGAGGCGCGAGCGAGGCGACCGGCGAAACGCAGCGACCGAGCGATAGTCGGCAACGGTTTGATATAATACGCCAACAAATGAGACACATTAATGAAGAAACGTTGGCGCTGTCTTTTAATCGTTTCTGTTGAACATTTAATGACGCGGCATTTTTCAGCAGCGCGGGGAAAGAGGAATCTCCCCATAACGTCCAAAGGTAAAGCTCAAAATGATATTACAGCGTCGTTTAACGTACACAGAATATTAATTATCTGAGCCATTACTGTTTACGGGTTCATGTATGGAGCAGATGCGCCGGAAGAGGGGGGGGGAGGAGGAAATAAGATAAAAAAAAAGAATAACGGAATTATGATAAAAAAGTTCGAATTTCAAGATAACTTCAATTTAAAAAATTACCCGGATGTCGGATGATAAGATAAATAGATATATTTTTTGTATGCGAGTGTATCATATCTGAAGTCGTAGGTTTCATGGCACTCTAAACAAAATAAATGATAACAAATAATACTAATAAGGAAAACACCATTAATAGAAACTCATTTCTTGGACAAAAGACTTAGGGAGACATATAACACGTGATCTGTGAACTAGAGGGAAAAAAAGAGAGAAAAAAGTAAAAACAAAACAAGACAATAACGAAACAATTAGAAAAAAGATAAAAAAATCAAAACAAAACAAAACAATAACGAAACAATTAGAAAAAATCAAAACAAAACAAAACAATAACGAAACAATTAGAAAAAATAAAAAATCAAACAACAATATATTAGAAAAAATCAAAACAAAACAAAACAATAACGAAACATTAGAAAAAAAAGACAAAACAAAACAAAACAAAACAATAACGAAACAATTAGAAAAAAATCAAAACAAAACAAAACAATAACGAAACAATTAGAAAAAAAGAGAAAAAAATCAAAACAAAACAAAACAATAACGAAACAATTAGAAAAAAGAGAAAAAAAATAGAACAATAACAAAACAATTAGAAAAAATCAAAAGAAACAATTAGAAAAAATATTAGAAAAAATAAAAACAAAACAAAACAATAACGAAACAATTAGAAAAAAAGATAAAAAAATCAAATCAAAACAAAACAATAACGAAACAATTAGAAAAAAAGATAAAAACAAAACAAAACAATAATGAAGCCATTAGAAAAAAAAAAAATAGTTTACGTGTTTATCTACATCATCTTCCACGCTCGTAAATCGTCGAACAAGAAGAGAAAGACTCTCCGTTTTTCCTCGCTGATGTCGCCTCTTCCCGTGGCCTCGCTATCTGCAGTTCTTCAAATCTGTCGTTTTTATGTCTCCTCCCGCGCACGCTTGAAATGATTAGGTTCTATCTTTCTCTCTTTCTTTTTTCCCACTCTCTCTCTATCTAATTTTTCTTCTTTCTCTCTCTGTATTTTTTTTCTATCTCTCTTCTCTTTCTCTTACCTTTTTTCTCTCTTCTCTTCTCTGTCTCTATTCTCTCTCTCTCTTCTCTCTCTCTCTCTCTCTCTCTCTCTCTTCTCTCTCTCTCTCTCTCTCTCTCTCTCTCTCTCTCTCTCTCTCTCTCTCTCTCTCTCCTTCCTTCCTTTCATCAATCCATTATTACTCTTTTAGATCGCTTTTCAAGACACTGATTGACCACATTGCAAAGCCCGCTGTGTGTTGCATTCTCATTATTGATTGGGGGGGGGGAGCGGCGATTGGCGTTCGTAGAAACCCTCCGGCGGCATCTTGGATTATCTGCACTAATCAACGAGCTAATCCCCTCCCCCCCTCTCTCTTCCCCTCCCCCCCCCTCCTCGTACCCTCTCCCTTCCCCTTATTCTATACTCCCTCTTACTCCTACCTTCATCCCCCTTCTCCTCCCCCCTCTTAATTATTTTCCCCTCTCTATCTTTACTCTCTTTCTTCCCCCTACTTCATACTCCCTTCTGTCCCTCCCCACCTTCTCCTTCCTCCCCTACCCCTACCCATCCCTCCTACCCCCGATATCCCCACCTTCCCCACCATTTCCCCACCCCCCCCCCACCCCCCATCGAATCAATACTCCAACTGCTGGACCAAACATCGGACAGTCTTTGACGCCCCTTTCCCCTCATCACCCTCCCCCCCCCTCCCCTCTAACCCCTTTTCTCCCTCTTCCTCTTCTCCCCCTCCGTTCTTTGCCTCATTTTCTTTTCTCTACTCGGAAGAAGAGGAGAGATGGAAAGTGAAATAAATAAACTGCAAGTGAAGGAGAAGATTGCAAGAAGGATTCAAGGAGAAGAGTTGAGAGAGAGAAAAATCAACTAAAGATATAATATATACATATGAAATAAAAAGGGAAAGAAATTGAATAATGAATAAAAGGAAACACCAAAGAGGAAAGCAAACAAATAAAAAAATTAACCAAAAAAAAAAAAGAGAAAAAAAGAAAAACAAGAAGACACCAAAAAGAAAAGAAAAGAAAAAAACAACAACAAGAAGACACAAAAAGAAAAAAAAAAAAAAAAAACAAGAAAGACCAAAAAAAAAAAAAAAAAAAAAAAAGACAAAAAAAAAAAAAAAAAAAAAAAAAAAAAAAAAAAAAAAAAAAAAAACTCACTCAGACTAAACATGAGAATAGTTCCACTGGTATTGAAGACCCCCAGGACAACGAAAACCTGTTTCCAAGTCAGATGTGAATTATTCCAACATTCCAGCAAAGCTCCTGAAAAAGTTACTCCCTAATCAAAATTGCATAGCACCCTTCCTGCCTCCGTCCCTCCCTCCTTCCTCCCTCCCTTCCCTCTCCCTTTTCTCTCTCTCTCTCTCTCTCTCTTTCTTTCTCTCTCTCTCTCTCTCTCTCTCTCTCTCTCTCTCTCTCTCTCTCTCTCTCTCTCTCTCTCTCTCTCTCTCTCTCTCTCTCTCTCTCTCTCTCTCTCCTCTTTTTTTCCTTGTCTATCTTATTCCTCTCCCTCCCTTCCCCCCTTCACCTCCTTCCCTCTCCTTCCACTTCTCTCCTCCTCTGCCTCTCCCCTTTCCTCTCCACCTCTCTTCCACCTCTCCCCCTTCTCCCCCTCCTCCCCTCTCCCTTTCCCCCTACCCCGCCAAGGTTTGCCTACACATGCGGGTTGGCTCCTCCGTGGTTGAATTTCCTCGTGGGAAAATAGAAGTTAAAAAAAAAGAAAAAAAAAAAAAAAAAAAAAAAAAGAATAAAAAAATCTACAAAAGAGTAAGTTGACTGAAGCTAACGGCGTCCGATGTTTGCCCTGAGGGAGAGAAATACTGATGATGGCATTTTTATTTCCCAAAATGACATGATCTGGCGTGTCTTTTCTCCGTGAGC